CAAGGATTACGTCACCCGGTTGAAAACTAAGTTCATCATCTGCAACACAATTCATGCTGTCTGGATGGATGAAGTCGCCGCCACCACTGCTACACTTGCAGAATTCCAGAAAAGTCAATAACGCATACGATAAAATGACAATTAGCTGATGACTTCGTACTGCCAGTAACGATACCTGACCGAGCGTTGAACTCATACAGAGCACGATACTTCACGGCACCTGTAGTTCCATTGCCGCTTGGTAGTGCATTACTCGTTGCAGAAAACTGCTGTTGCACCGCTCCATTTGTTGTCCCTCCTGCAATGCATCTGCGCTTATAACTGTGCCGGTTTTTCACATTTCACAAGCTCAGACCTTCAGTTACGCTGCAACGTACAAATATGACACGACAGGTCAGGTAGCGTGTAATTCAAAATCGTCGTTGATGTAAATCAGGCATGAGCAACCTATGGCGACACGCGGGCCTGACTTGCATACTTAAGCTCGCGAGCTACCTTTTAATAAAACCCAGGCAGCAACGCACCAGGCTTGTCCGTAAAACTAAGTTTTTGCGCTAAATTTGACGCAGTCAGATCGTTAACAGTACAAACGGTTGTTGCTTCACAGTTTAACACGTGCAACTCATATGCCTGTGTTTTGGTCTCTTCTTGCATACGAAGGAAAGCACGTCGGCTGGGATGGTGGTGATGCATCATGGCTCTCCCCGCTGCTGAGCTGAAAGTGGATGGCAAAGTTCACTCGCCTCTGAACGCACACACACAAAGACATGCTCTCGACATCATGCGTTTTTGCATTCCCATAAGATGTAAAAACATATAAAAACAGATAAGTTTTTATTAGGTAGTTCATTCAATAAAGAATAATTGACAGACGCACGGGCTGCCCGAGCGAAGACGAGTTTTTTGCATGGTTTCCCGCAGTTTTTGTCGCTATCGGCATCGGTTTTTTCGGCAAATGCTTCTAGCTAAACAAATTAAGACTGGCCACCAAAACTGGAAACACACCCTCAAAATTTCAGCTTTCTAGTTTTCTTGGTACCTGAGTTAGCAACTTACCGGAAAAAAACTTTCACTGGCCCGAACGCGGGTACCACGCATACCCGACTTCTTGGTCTGAGCTTGTTGAGACTTACTTGAACGGGGAACATCTCAAAACTACAGTCTTTTAGCTTTTCAGGTTCACGAGTTATGAACTTACCCGAGGAGAACTTTGGCGAACCCGTGCGTAGGTACCACGCATGATCGAGGGCTGGGTTTGAGCTCGTTGAGACTACTGTGGACGGGGAACATCTTAATATTACAGTCTTCTAGCTTTTTAGGTCCTCGAGCTATCAACTTACCCGAAAAAAACTTTGACGGGCCCGTACGCTGATTCTACGCTTACCCGGAGGCTGGTTTTGAGCCCAATAATACCTACTTGGATGGA